CAGATCTCTCATAACGATAACAAAACAACGTCTTTCTCTCGACATGACTGATCAGACCATCCCCACCAGCACACACAGTACACAATACACAGCCCTCTTTGTCTTGCCCTCATGTACTCGAGGTACATCAACAACGCATCGCATGCATGCCGACGGCAACAATCACGGCCTCACCATACGGGCCTGCAGTGGGCGGCAACCAGGCCTTCTAGACTCACATGAAACCGGCAGCGCTAAACACGCCACCCGCCAGCACAAAGCCGGCGGCGCCCAGCCCGTCCCTCACATGGGACACGCTGCACCGGACCACTCACACACGGCCAACAGACAGCGTCAGAACCGTCACACATTAACATGGAGCCGCCGGCAACAGACCAGTCGCAGACATGCAACAGACAGCGTCAAAACCGTCCACAACGCGCGGATCTCACAGCATCGGAGATGGCCCACACCGTGCGGGCCGTGCGACGCCCGCGCAGTCTCGGACTCACGCGGAGCCAGCGGCGCACGGCGGCCCCGGCGTCAGCACAGCTGGCCACCAGCCCACACTACTGGCCGGCTACGGCCACGGTCGGCCGGCACGCCCTGATCACGGCGGTCAGCAGACTGAGCGGCGGCCGCGGTCGGCAGGCCGGCCATTTGCATGCGCGCGCGGAGCTGTGCATGCTCCGAACGGGGGGTCGAGTAACGGCCGGCCGGCGCGCCGGGCCGGACCGGACTGGAGCCGGGGCGGGCCCGCCGGCCGGCGGGGGATCAGGCGGCCGCGCCGGACTTGGCCTATTTGCAGAGAAGCGCAAACAGGTTTCATTCTGACCTCGAGGTCGGCTGGCTGCCGTCGCCGTCAATAGATGGCGCTCCGTGTACCATTGGGATTCACGGCGATGTTTAAAATGATTTTCACCGCGCTAGTTGTGGTAAGGAATGACAATTTATTGAGATGTGTCGTGCTAGATTTCTAATCGCCACTGCGTTTACATGTTGCACATTGCATGCTTAAAAGAATTTTTGACGTTACCGCCAACAAGATATCCAGTAATGCACCAGAAGAACCACGTTGGTCACCAAGGAAGAATCGGTATTCGTGGCAGGCAATAGGTCCGGGTCAGCACCAGAACTGAGTTCTTCTTCTTCTTTCTTTTCTTCCATTTATTCCTGGGGCAAGCCTGCATGCACCAGCCATGAAGTGGTCTCGAGTGCCTCCTGGTGGCGGCCCCCGTCTGAGCGCTGAACCAACACACCCCGAAGGATTCAGTGCTGGCTGGTGTTCGGCGAAGCTGAGTCTCGGGCCAAGTCTGCGGCGGATGGGACCCCAGATGGATGTAGTTCTGCCGCAGCGTTGTCATATCCTCATTCACCTCATAAGTCTAGAAATGGTCATGACAGGCCGAAAGTGGCTTTAATCCAAACAACATAACAAAACTAATCTCCGCTATATAGCTTCGTGTTGACGTTAAGACATCCCGAACACTTTCAGCTCGTCAGCGCCTGGCTTGATATACGGTCCCAGATCTCTCAAATTCCACTCGGCGGCCTGCCTGAATTAATGAATGTATCAAATGATGTCTCAGTAAAAAGGACAAGAGAGACGGGGACGTAGCAAGTGACGCGTGGATGTGCTAACATTTCCGAGATTCGGGTGGACAATAAGAGCTGCGCTGCGGGGGGGGGGGGGGAGACCGTCATAATTTCAGAGTGGTTTCAGCAGCCGGCAAATGGGCAGACCTGATGATGAGCCTAACCTGATGATGATCTGATGATGCTGATGCAAAAGGTGCATAGTTTGAGACCGGCACTGATGGGATAAAAAGCTCGTTTTGCAAAGTTTGGACGGAAATATGTCCTTCCAGTTACCGGCTTTAGTTAGGTCACCCAAGCTGGGCAAGCTATCAACCATTCCCGTGTCTATGACACATGCATTTTCATTTTTACGAGCATGGGCGAAAAGATGACCCAATGCTCAAATGTAGCCTTATCTAGTTCGTTAGATCACACCGCGTCTGTGTTGTTGTCTTGTTCCTTGTAGCTTGAACATCACTGCCTCTGTCATACCTTCTCTTGGGCAGCCCTCCAGCTCCAGGATTCGAAACTCCATGAGCTCGTTGGCGTCGCGCAGCTCCTGCAGTTCGTTCTCAGCCCTGAGCTCGCGCGCCCGGCTCCGGCGCAGCTGCTGGGTCAGGGCACAGGTCTGCGCCGTCAGGAGGCTCTTCTCCTGCAGCGACGACGGGTCGACGCCCTTGCTGGCCAGCGCCGCCTCCAGGTCACGCACCAGCGACTGGAACCACAGGCAGCCGTGTCGGCGCGGGGGGTCGCTCGGATGGAAATCGTGTCGTCCAGTCCTGACGTACACCTGCCTCGCGCCACCGAAGCCCGAAGGGACAGCGGGAGAAGGGACGGGCAGGTGATTAACGACCAAGCAGGCAGCAGGAGCAGGGCGGGCGGTGGTGACGACTGAGCACGAGCAGGAGCAGGGGCTAACAGCGGGAGCAGGGGCGGATGGTGGTGACGGCCGCGCAGGAGCGGGAGCAGGGGTGGGCAGGGGTGGGCGGTGGTGAAGGTTCGAGCAGAAAGCGGGAGCGGGGCTGGCAGCGGGTGCAGGGCGGGGGCGGTCGGAGCAGGTGTGGGCGGTGGCGACGGCCGAGCAGAAAGCGGGAGCAAGGGCTGGCAATGGAACAGGGGCGCACCGGTGACAGCGGAGCATGCCAGGTTCAGCGGCAGGACCGGACATCCGGCTGATAAGATTGAGCCAAACCGACCACACACACCGGCCAGTTATTGTCATTGCAGGTTAGGACAACACATTCCCATTACAAACATGGCTAGCCCGACCTGAACGGTATCTGATTACTGCTGAGGTCCCCACGTATGCGTGTCCTTTAGGGATAAATGAGCGACTAGACGACAAAAACCCTGGAAAATAAGTATAAGCCATATGTAAGCTAAGCACGACAAAACACCACGAAGCAAACCAGGTTCACAGCGTTACAGAGTTCATGCTTTGCGCTGTCTAAATAATGGCGTATGAAACGTATTTATCATGGCGTATGTATCTCGGACGGCTTTGTACGACCATCGAGGCTATCTTCCTTCACGTGTAAAACGTCTAGCATTGTCTAATCTCTCCGACCTGGGCCTCTCAAGCCTTTGATAGTCGCTATCTGTTTGGGCAGATATGGCCAGAGGCCTGATGGTTTCTGTAAGCCAGTACAACGCAAACAGCATCGAATACGTGGCACCAAGACAGCTCACTAAGCCGTAACTGGAAAACGCTAGCGAATAAGCATTGAACTAAACGCAAAAACCGCCGGCGACCTTGTTAACAGCGCATACAAAATATAAATTTGTCAGCCAAAGTTTACGCAAAACAATGTGCGTTTAAGTCGAGCAAACGGCAAAAGCTGTGTTCGTGCAAACAACGAGGAAACTAGTTACGTCCAAGGCTGAGTGACTGGCCCACTGACGGGCGTCGCCGTCTGCCTGTCCGTCACCATCTCGTGCCTCGAGCTCAGGCTGCTCCTGTAGGCGGCACACATCCGGCTACCGGCTCGCCCAGCGTTCTTACACCCACCGCCCACGGACCCGTGAGCGGAGTCGGTCAACGATCTTACACCCACCGCCCACAGACCCATGACCGGGGTCGGTCAACGTTCTTATACCCCCCCCCATAGACCATGACCGAGGTCGGTCAACGTTCTCACACCCCATCCCACAGGCCCGTGACGGGGACCGGTCAACGTTCTTACGCCCACCCCCCAGACCGATGACCGGGGTCGGTCAACGTTCTCACAACCACCCCCATACCGAGCCGTGACCGGGGTCGGTCAACGTCCTCGCACGCACCCCACACAGCCCGTGACGGGACCGGTCACATTCTTACACCCCCCCCCCCCAAGACCCATGACCGGGGTCGGTCAACGTTCTCACACCCACCCCACAGACCCATGGCCGGGGTCGGTCAACGTTCTCACAACCACCCCCACACCGAGCCGTCACCGGAGTCATTCAACGTTCTCACACCCCACCCACACAGGCCCGTGACCAGGGCTGGTCAACGTTCTCACATCCACCCCCGCACAGACCCTGAGAGGGGTCGGGCAACGTTCTTCCCCCCCCCCCCTCCCCTCCACACTGACAGACCCGTGACCGGGGTCGGTAATCCTCAGCGCTGAGCCGAGGAGCTCGCGTTAGTCTGCTGCCGGCCCGGCCTTTTGCTTCATCCGTCATAACCGTTGGCAAGTTCCTGACCGGCACTAACCCGCGTACAACAGATACCGGCGTAGGCCAGCGGTAAGTTGCGACCAGGGCCTGGCTGCAGCACGTATCTCGGATTTCCAGGCCGTTCCCACGCGACACTGTCTCACAGTTGGCACGGGGCCATGGCGTGCCTCGCCAGGGCGGGGCCGCCAGGCCACGGGCAGGCCCATTGAGTGAGCCGCTACTCAAATACCACAGGACAGTAATGAGCCGGCGCCGCGACGGCCGGATAATGCCACATCGCGGCAGGTCCGTCATGTGACGCACCACGCCGCTCGGAGCGTGAAATAACTGTGATCGGTTTGAATAACAATGTTTCTCATATGATGGAACCAATCACCACACGACATGAGCGCATGACGGCCCAGCACTGACACAATCATCTCCTGAAGGATCCTTAATGAGCGCTTCACATGCGGCTATTACATATCAATCAGCATGGCCGGGTATATGAGCTCACGGACCAGGCCGAGGAGTTTCCCCCGGGCTCCCGTCGCCGCTCGCTCCACCCGCTGTCCAGGGGTGGCGTCGGTCGCCCAGCGAGGCCCATTAACCCACAACCGGCTCGTTAGCGGTGACAGGAGCAGGACCGACCTGCGATGCGAGCAGTCTCGTTCTCGACGCGTGACCTGGTGCGGCCGTACGGCTCGACTCCCGGGCCTGCGCCACCAGCAGGTCGTGCGCCTGGCGCAGCTGCTGGTGCGCCCTCTGCAGCTGGCAGCACAGCCGCTGCTGCAGCTCCTGCCGGCTCAGCTGGCGACAGAGCCCGCCGTCAGACATGCGCCGCGCTCAGGTCAGACAAGCGCGGCGCTTAGGTCAGACATGCGCGCGCTCTCAGGTCAGACAAGCGCGGCGCTTAGTCAGACTGCGCCGCGCTCAGGTCAGACAAGCGCGGCGCTTAGGTCAGACATGCGCCGCGCTCAGGTCAGACAAGCGCGGCACTTAGGTCAAACATGCGCCGCGCTCAGGTCAGACAAGCGCGGCACTTAGGTCAGACATGCGCCGCGCTCAGGTCAGACAAGCGCGGCGCTTAGGTCAGACATGCGCCGCGCTCAGGTCAGACAAGCGCGGCGCTTAGGTCAGACATGCGCCGCGCTCAGGTCAGACAAGCGCGGCACTTAGGTCAGACATGCGCCGCGCTCAGGTCAGACAAGCGCGGCACTTAGGTCAGACATGCGCCGCGCTCAGGTCAGACAAGCGCGGCACTTAGGTCAGACATGCGCCGCGCTCAGGTCAGACAAGCGCGGCGCTCAGGTCAGACATGCGTCGCGCCCAGGTCCAGACAAGCGCGACGCTTAGGTCGACGGATCGCACCGCCGAGAGCGGCGTCCATTCGCCAGGCGATCCGGTATTATCGGCTCATCAGCTGATTTACGAAGCCATACCGGAGGTCGCTGCTGGCGGAGATTCGGGGCATGTGGGCACGCTCATGGACGGCGAACTGGCCGTGGCCGGTCTCACCGGCGGCGGCGGCGCCTGTCAGCCGGCCTCGACACACGCCAGCAAAACAGACCGTAACACTGCACATGTTGTGCACCGGCTGCCGGTGTACCGACCGGCACAAACAATCCCTCAATTGGGGCTGAATCGATAGCTGACCGACAACTCACCTCGGTAGGTGCCATGTAGGTCACACACCCCGAACGACACCCAGCAGTGGAATCAACGCATCGTGGTGCATGGGAAACGGAAGGGGAGAGAGCAAGCAGCCACTGGTCTCACCTCGGCCAGGTCCGACGGCTTGATGTCAGAGACGTCCGAGCCTGCTCGGTGACGGCGGTGACGGGGTCCTCCAGCGAGTCGTAGCGCTCGCCCTCCCTCAATGTCGGCAGGCCACTCATCTGACGCGTAGACGGAGGATCAGAGCACAGCCGCCGCGCCGCCACACAGTCATGCCGTGGGCCAACGCAGCGGACGGGGTCATAGGACAGAGGATCAGAGCACAGCCACCGCACCGTCACACAGGCATGCCATGGGCCAACGCAGCGGGCGGTGTCAGGGGACAGAGGATCAGAGCACAGCCACCGCGCCGCCACACAGTCATCCATGGGCCAACGCAGCGGACGGGGTCAGAGGACAGAGGATCAGAGCACAGCCACCACCGCGCCGCCACACAGTCATGCCATGGGCCAACGCAGCGGACGGGGTCATAGGACAGAGGATCAGAGCACAGGCACCGCGCCGCCACCCAGTCATGCCATGGGCCAACGCAGCGGACGGGGTCAGAGGACAGAGGATCAGAGCACAGCCGTCACACCACCATACAGTCATCCCATGGGTTAACACAGCGGACGGGGTTCACGTGATAAGATATTTGAAATGCAATGCGAATGCAGCGCATTGTTTTTGTTTTTTTTCCCTTGCCTAAGTAAAGCAGTTGTGGTTTCCGGATGTCGAGTCTTTGACCTAATAAAAACATATTTAATAGTCGCTGGGCCTCTGACTCCAATCTAATGATCGCATCAGATGACAATCTGACCGCTTTGACGCTGTTTTAGAGAGAAACAGAAGAAGCCCAACTTGCCCAAAAGTGGCTGGTGTCAGGATACCAGTGGCGTCAGTGACTGCTACGCCCATGTGTTCATCAACTTTTCTGCGACCTTCCATGCGTCACAATATGTAGTACCAATAGAGAATTTCTGAAAATTGGCCGCTGAGATAAGCAATGCCGCAATGCACGCATGCACCGGCTCAATCCCTGGAGAGCCTGTCAGCGATGAGATCAGGTGAGATGGCCGCCAGACCCGGCGAGCAGTGGGCGGAGCTCCGCTACCACACCAGCCCGCGGCACGGGCCCCCCCTCCTACGGGTAGCGGCGGTGCTGGCACCACCGCAGGGGCACGCCGTCAGCAGGCGGCCGAGCGCCCGCCCTCACGGCGGAATCTGGCCCTGGCGCCGCCGTCACTTCACGGGAAGTGGGCCAGGCCATTGCATGTCACCGACTCATGCATAAGCCAGCGTGGCGAGCGCGCGCGCGCGCCGGCGGGCCGGTCTGTGTCCGGCAGCGGTCCCCTCCCACGCGAGCCGGCGCGTGGCCACAGCGGCGGTCAGTGGGACGCGCCGCCGGCACGGGTCAGGCAGTGGGACGGGCCGCCGCCGCCGCCGCCGCCGCCGACGCGCAGCGGTCGGTTGGCGGGCGCGGCCCGGCCGGAGCGCGCGGCTGGCTGGCGCGCACGCGCGCGACCAATGAAGCGTGCAGCTCAGCGAGAAGCCGCGGGATGTCAAGAAAGGGAGGGTAAGAGAGGGCAGAGAGAGAGAAGAGAGAGAGAGAGAGAGAGAGAGAGAGAGAGAGAGAGAGAGAGGAGAGAGAGAGAGAGAGAGAGGTACAGAGAGAGAGAGAGAGAAGAGAGAGAGAGAGAGAGAGAGAGAGAGAGGAGAGAGAGAGAGAACGATAGAGCGAGAGAGAGGAGAGAGAGGATTAATAGAGGGACAGAAGCCTCTTCGCTGCTGTCCAATGCATGACACGAATCGAACGGCGCTGAGCTGCGGACTCGCGTGACACGGAAATCGAAAAGAGACGCAGCGTCATTATTTGGCCTGGTGCCTCAACCGCGGACGACAAACGCGGTGTCTGGCTTCAGTCGACGCGCGTAATCTATGGCTGCTACGAAGCTGAAGGCCCGACCTTCTGGTCTACTCCAAATGCCTGACACTTGGTTCGACGACGTCTATTTAAACCCCAGCGCAGAGTGGGTAGCAAAGGAGCGATGCACCTCGAACAAAGGGACCTCTACCATTCGTCACTCTTCGTTCGATTTACTTCGCATGCCAAGGTCCCGGCCCCTTGTTCGGTTGGCTGGAATGGTAAATGGTCGTTTGAGATTCAGCTAGGGGAAAGTCTACCCCCTAACTAGCTAGTTTGGTTGCAGGTCTGATAGCGTTTCGCACGAAATACCAAGTTTTCGACAAAGGAAGAGAATGACATCACAAAGGGTGAGCGTAACAAGCATCCATTCGTGCTGTGCAGATATCCATTGCTGTAACTCCGGTCTTTCACTATGTCAGTCTGGACATAGATCCGCATCAAGAAGATAATTAGGCATGAAGATAGTTGTGGGACTTAGAGAGATCAACTCATGGAGGCATCGGCCAATGTGAAAACAATCTGAAATCACCAAAGCCCTTCCTGGCGTGACAATAAGCACGGTGCTTAAAGGTGATTACGTGCTCGTTTCTCATGAAACCGAGCTGGAAGGCAGCGACCCCATTCACTCTGTGAACCGAGACATGGCGGTCTCCCGCGCGCCACCCCTCGACTAAGCCTCGCCGAGACACCTGTCGGAATGAGCAGGCCCACACGGCTCCGAATGTATGTGTGTGGCATAAACCCATTACTCGGTCGATGCAGTCCCTATCTGGGTCACGGGTCACCCGCTCGGCGGCTGTCTCGGCCGCGCCGTCTGGAGATCGATGCAGGGTTCAGGGCCGTGCACGGTCTGTGCTCGGCGCCGGACCACCTGCGCCCGTCACGAGCTCGGCAGTCCGGAGCACGCGACCGGCTCAGCGCCGGCCGGGCCGCGCTCGCAGCGAGCGCCGGCATCAGCTGACGGGCCGATGCCAGCGCAGCTTCCGTCGCTGGAGCCGCGTCAGGGCTGACCGTGCGACGACGGCCGTTTTTCACCGCCATTAGGCGGCCCGTCCGGCAGGACCTTGGACGCCGAGTCATTACCATGATCCGCGGGCACGCGGGGTCAGTAAAAACGTCCCGATCCGCGACCGACGCTACAACGCACTCAGGCGAGCTCGGCCACAGAGGGGCGGCGGCGGCGGGGGCACCTGTGGAGCCGCTGCGATCAATGCCGCCGAGACGCGCCGCCGCCTCCGGTTCGGCGCCACCCAATGAAAGGCTGACACTGGTGACTAGTGACTCACCACTGGTGACAGCCGCCGTCACGGCCGACGGCACGGCGGCCGAGCCGGTCACGAGACGGCCGGACCGGTCACGAGACGGCCGGAGTCCGGCCGGCACGGAGTCCGCTCCAGGCGGCAGGGTGGCGTCCAGGGGTCGTGCGGGAGCCGGGCCGGCTGCAGAGCCACGCCCCTCGGCACTGGCGCCAGCGAAAGTGACTTGGTGGCCGCTCAGGCACGACGGCCTCCATTCCAGCTGGTGCCACACAGTTCGGCTCAACCAATTGGCTCTCAGCTGGTGCCGTACAGTCAAGTTAAACCAATTGGCTCTACCTGACCGACACGGCCAGCACAAGACGTGGCTTGTCACCTTAGCCAACCACATTCGTTACCCAGGATCAGATTGTGGCCCGTCGTTTCTCTCGGCTCGACTTGTTAGAATTAACAACCTGAGATCGTGGGTCTTCGTGTCTCCAGGCCACGACTGCTTCCCATTAACAAGCTCCGATCGTGGCTGGTCTCTTTTGCTCGGACGAAGCCCGTTACCATCAGGAGGAGCGTGAGTCGGCACGGCGGCCGACCCGGCCCGCCGCCCCGCTCCTGATGCGGTTTGTCACGGCTGTCAGCGGCGCAGCAGCGGAGCCCTCCACCGCCACGCCGTCACAAACGGGTCGATAATGGAGCTCCGCCACTCAGCGGGCGGTGGCAGGTCGAGCTAGCTCCGGTAGCGGTCGACGGCGGGTCGAGCTCCGATAGCGAGCAGCGGCGGGCCGAGCTCCGATAGCGAGCAGCGGCGGGCCGGCTCCGATAGCGAGCAGCGGCGGGCCGAGCTCTGATAGCGGGCAGCGCGGACCGCACTCCAGCAGCGGACAGCGGCGGACCGAGCTCCAGCAGCGGATAGTGGTGGACCGAGCTCCAGCAGCGGATAGTGGTGGACCGAGCTCCAGCAGGCCGAGCCCCGACCTCCTCCCAGAGCGCGCGGGCCGTAATCGGGCCCTGATCGAAGTGGACCAGCGCGCGGCCGCCCGCTGCGGCCGGCAGCTGCCGCGTCCGATCGCGCCACTCGGCCCCGTTCTCGGCCCCAGAGCATAATCGAATGCGAGGCGCGTTCGATCGGAACACGCGGCTGGCCAGGCGCCATGCCATTTGGCCGGCGATTTGATGGCTATTTAAAATGCCGATCTCGGTTAACATCTGGGACTAAAGGATGTAAGGCCGCCAAAAGGAGAGAGGTCTGCGACCGGTTATAGTGCGATCGATTAAAAACTGCTAAGTCTATCGATGCAGTCTTAACGGTGAGATATCACTTTTTTGTCGCGTACCTGGGCACATGAGGTCTGTGCAAAAGCACATAAAGACGGACATTTACCTGGAGCACCTCTCCCCCAAAAGACAACTAAGATCTCATTCCTGGCACTCGGGCCCACGTCTGACTGACGACACATGGAAGGGAACACGCGACCCGCTCGATATTCAATGTTCCGATGACGGCACAGGGAGCCAGAAAGCCCCATGCGGGTGAACGCGCACCACCCACATGACGCCATACGCTGCACCCAACGGCAGGCGACTGGCGCGCTGCCGCTGCTGCCTCACCTTGCCCTGCAGCAGCCGGTGTGGTCTGGTGGCTGCCGGGTGTCCTGGCCGCGCCGTGCCGACCTGCGAAGGAGGCAGGCCGCTGCCTCAGTCGAGCTCGCGCCACCGCCAGCCGGCGAGCGGCAGCGCCGCGCGTTGCTCCGATACGGGGCCGAGCAGCGTGCTACCCGGCCGCTCGGTCGGATCGAGGTCCACCGCGGAACGGGGTGCGCGATAGGGCGAGTGATACGTTTATCCGAGGCGGGTCGGATAGCGTCACAGCGTTGTGCTCGCGGGTCGCTGACAGGCAAACATTCCTGACATAGAAGCGGTCAAAGGAGGAATTGTGTGCCCACTTGTGGCTCTTCTCTCGACCCTAGCAGACTGTTGTTCCCGTGGACCTATGGTGACACAGCAAGACTGGCACACAACGCAGAAACCCGGCGGGGCCGGCCGTCGGCCAGCGAGGCGCGACAGACCGCCGGCCTGCCAGGCGGGTCAGCGGGACAGGCCGTCGGCCAGCGAGGCGCGACAAGCCGCCGGCCTGCCAGACGGGTCAGCGGGATAGGCCGTCGGCCAGCGAGGCGCGACAGGCCGCCGGCCTGCCAGGCGGGTCAGCGGGACAGGCCGTCGGTCGGCGAGACGCGACAAGCCGTCGGCCTGCCAGGCGGGTCAGCGGGACAGGCCGTTGGTCGGCGAGGCGCGACAAGCTGCCGGCCTGCCAGGCGGGTCAGCGGGACAGGCCGTCGGCCAGCGAGGCGCGACAGGCCGCCGGCCTGCCAGACGGACCAGCGGGACAGGCCGTCGGTCGGCGAGGCGCGACAAGCCGCCGGCCTGCCAGGCGGGTCAGCGGGATAGGCCGTCGACCAGCGAGGCGCGACAAGCCGTCGGCCTGCCAGGCGGGTCAGCGGGACAGGCCGTCGGCCAGCGAGGCGCGACAGGCCGCCGGCCTGCCAGGCGGGTCAGCGGGATAGGCCGTCGGCCAGCGAGGCACGACAAGCCGTCGGCCTGCCAGGCGGGTCAGCGGGATAGGCCGTCGGCCAGCGAGGCGCGACAAGCCGCCGGCCTGCCAGGCGGGTCAGCGGGATAGGCCGTCAGCCGGCGCGACACAGCAGACAAGCAGAGGAAGCCATATTGAACCAGGACAAACAACAACTGCAAATAACAGCAGTTTCAATAACCTTTTCCTTATGCCAGTGTTATTTTCTGCCGCTACGATAGCACTGTACATTAGGCTTCCCATGTAAAACTGGGACGGAATTTTAGTTGAAATAATCATTTGGCTCACTGTATAAACCTTCTTTTCGGCTCAATGCCGCCATTTTTGGGAGCCAAATGGCCACGGCCCACCTGTGCGGCACGTGACGCGGTGTTCGCCGTCAGCCACGTTAGCCGCGCTCACCTGTGTCGTCTCCCGCAGCTGCGCGATGCATTTCTGCAGCTCGTCCACCTTGCGTTTCAGCTGCGTCACCTCGGCCGAGTCCGACAAGGGAGGCGCAGCCTTGCGACGCTTCAGAGCGGCACTGGCTCGAGCTGGCGGCTTCTGCAACTGTCAGACGCCAATGGGAATAATCAGATGTTCCGTCTACAGGAGTGCTAATGCAAAGTCGTTGTTACTGATAAATTATGTTAATAATCTAGATACCCTGCACAGATGAAGCAAATTGCTAACTTGATGTAAGAAGGCCGTTGCCGTCCAGTGTTTTGGAATTACGAGTTCAAAAACCTTGAAAATAGGATAGGGCATTTTTAATTGCTACGAACATTCAGCAGCTAAGCTCGCCTATTTGGCACGATGTATGAGTCATATGACAATTGTTAAAATCAACGCCTGCAGAAAGAAAACATTTCCAGTTAAAACAACCTTCGATAAAACTCTGGCTACCTAATCTATCGGGGCCACCTAACGTGACATCTCCTTGATTACAAAACAATCATGCCGTAGGCTTTCGTGAAGATGAAACATGACTCGGCAGGCAAGAGAACGCATGATATAAGTTGGCCAAGTGGCAAGGGCTATGGAGGTGTGTGGGCATATATGCATAAGCCACCCGTGCTCTGCCCAGATCGTCGTTTATTGGTGGAAAATGCCGACACAAAAGGTAAGCAAGGTTTTTATACCGACTGAGTCATTTTAGGGACAGCCTTTCTGTGGGCCGCTTGGTCATGAACACATCAGAAACAACTTGAATGCACATGTCGTGAACCGACGCTGTTGTGATCTTTAACGAGCGGTTTCATAGCCCGTCATGTTCCACGCCAAAACAAGTCTGTTTTCATGATAATAACACCTTGGTGCCATCATCATTTCTTAATGGTTCTTTGCAAATCCGAAGTTTATTTTCATCGCCGTCATGCGAACAAAAAGCGTCAACTGGGCCTCACGATAGTGCCGCGTCATGCACCATTCGTCGCGCACGAGCTACCCATCGACTGCCCCGCGGCGCGCGTGCACGCTTTCTAGCCATGCCTGCTACCGATCTACGGTCGACAGATGCCCTGGTGCCGGCATGTTAGCCTATGCCGACAGATGCCCTAGTGTCGGCCGGCGTAGCGTATACCGACGGAGGCCCTGGTGCCGGCATGCTAGCCTATGCCGACAGATGCCCTAGTGTCGGCCGGCGTAGCGTATATCGACGGAGGCCCTGGCGCCGAACTGTATACGTAGGGTAATTTGGGTGCCTGATTGTACCGCATGCCGACAGGGCCCTCGTGCCGGTCTACACACGCCGAAAGACGTCCTGGCACCTTCCTTGAAGCTGCCGGGAACTCTGGTGCCGACAGGTATGTCGACAAGAATCTAGTGCAAGCCCAGTGCAAGCCATACCAACAGGGAATCTGGGCGAGTCTCTCTACTGACGCAGAACCTGGTGCCGGTCCGTTCACAACAGAGACCCTGGTATCAGTTTCTGCACGACAGAGGCCCTGGTGCCGGTCCATACATAACAGAGGTGTTAATTCCGGCTCAGACACAACAAAGTCCCTGGTACTGTCTTGTAAACGACAAAGGCCCCGGTGCCGCTTTGTACATGACAAAGACCCCGGCACCGACCCGTACATGAAAGAAGCCCTGTTACCAACCCGTTCATGACAGAGGCCCTGGTGCTGACCAGCACACGACAAAAGCCTTGATGTCGGTTAGTACTCGGCCCGAGGCCCTGGTTCAGGCCGGTACTCAGGAAGGGGCCGGTATAGTCTGGTGCCGGCCCAGACTCGACAGGGACCCTGGTGCCAACCTTACCCCGACAGAGGCCCTGGTGCGAATCCATGCTTTGACAGAAGCCGTAATGTAGGCCTATGTACCGCCAGAGGCCCTATTGAAGGCTCGTGCACCATCAGGGGGCCTGATGCAGGCCTGGGTATCACGACAGGTACCGATGCAGGCCTGTTTACCGCCAAAGGTTCAGATGCAAGCCAGTGTACCACCAGAGGTAATGAAAAAGACCTGTGTACCACCGGAGGTCGCGGTGTCGCCGCCGTCCAGCCCCGCTCCGCCGGCGAGCGCGGCGGAGCACCCGCCCAGCTGCTGGGCGCGGCCGGAGCCCGCAGAGCGGGCTCCGGACGCAGCCTGGACGCAGCGGGCGCCGTTCGGTGGCGGTGACCCGGCGGCGGCGATCGGTGCTGTTCGGGCGCGCGAGTCCCGGCCAGGACTGGCCATTCATTGGGCCGCCTGAGAGGCCGGAATTCCCGACCGCCCGCCAGGCGGGCCGGACCCGGACACGTCCCCAGCAGGTGGACACAGACGCACACAGGTCAGCTTGGCCGGACGCATTCCTAGCATGCTATGCGGATGAACAGCCATCGGACCCAAAAGCCGGGGAAATCATCGGTAACGCGTTTGCGGGTGGATGTGGTGACATCTGTGACCTAACAAGACGATGAGCTTTGTGTTGATTATAATCAACCCAAGAGCATCATTATATTAGCGGCCATGACCATTGCGGCATTATCATGCGAGCATCGCGCTAATGTGCTGTCATATAGATTTAGGCACACTTCCGGGCCACAGCGATGGTCGGGTCATCATTTCTGGGTGCACACGACAGGGAGGGCTCAGCCTCCTGCGGCGGCCGGAGCTGGGCAGCGCTGCTGGTCCAGGCCACCATCGACCGGTACGGGACGGGCTGTCGGCCCGACGCCTGGCCCGGACGCCTCGCATTCCCCGCATTCACAGCCGGCCGGTGTCAGCCGAGACGGGCCCAGTCCGGCACCGAGGGGAGTCGCCCGACCGGCCGAGGCACGCGCCTGGCAGGGCGCCGACGCTGGGGACAGGGCCGGCCGCGGGGGCCTGATCATTACCCCGGGACACTGACCATTGCCCCCGGGACACCGATCACAGCCCTGGGGCACTTTCGCCAGTCCCGGGACACTGACCACAGCCCCCCGGGACACCGACCGCCGCTCCCGGGACATCGGTCGCAGATCTGATCACGTGTCGTGCCGCCGGCGGGTCGGACGGACGACATCGTCCGAGGCGGCGGTCGACGGGGTACGGGGAGGGGAGACGCACGACCTGCGGAGGTCACCTGGGGCGCCTGTCAAGTAGCGCAGTCCGCCGAATGATGCAGCAACATAGCGAAACAGCCCGGCAGAGTGGCACAGCGGGCAGAGGGACACGGCCTGCCGGGGTGACGCAGCTCACGGGCGAGGCTGGCTGACGTAACAGTGACCTTTCGTGGCTCCAAGCCGCTGACCGCCGCGGACGCCCCACGGCTTTGCACAATGGCACTCGTGCACACACTGGACTCTTTAAAAGCGCGCTGGCTATGGCGCGGCCAGGCGGGATTCGCCCAGCGCGCCGTGACTTACTGAGGACAGCAGTAGTTCTGCGTATTGCCAGCCGCCCGCCGAGTAAAGCCCCCAGACCAGCTCACCATCCCAGCAAACATCGACGCTAGATTACGCCATTCACGCCCACGTATGCTAACGTCTACGTCGTGATCGCATGAGCCGCTAACCCCATGAGCCCGAGCGAAGATGAAGCTGTGAATTGCCCCTGGGGTGAGCGGCGCGCCGCCTCCTCACTGCCTGAGGCCTGTCGCAAGGCGCGCACCGCCGTCAATGGAGGATAATGACCCTCGACAGCTGATGACAGCTATCAGAAGGCTGACAATGTCCGTGACAAGGGCCGTGTACATTCACCGATCTCGAGACCACATCGGCAATTTGGGCAATTGTTCACATAATCATGAAATGAAACAAGCACTGAATGTTTACAAATGCGCTGGGTCATCGCCATTTTCAGTCATTGGTGAAATGAATTTGTTCCCGGCCAAAACAACGGCGGAGCGGTAAAAGCTAGTCAAAATCGCAGCTTTTGTAATGAAACTGGCCACTGTGTGATATCGTTTACGCTCTGTTTAGCCCGCTAGTAACGTTGGTTACAGACAGTCTACCAATAGGCTAAACAACAGCACCCGCAAACCGTCTCGGAATGCCCCAGGTACATACAAACGGTGTACTCACTGGGTATTAATGCGTACTCGCAGACTCCCGTTTGTCATAAACACCCAGACATGAACTGAACGGCATGCATATTGACCACGCACAAAAGCAGCCCTGCTCTCTTACACCTCCCGGCACAGCACCACACCAGCCTCGTCTCGGCTTACACCTCCCGGCACAGCACCACACCAGCCGACGCGCTCGTTCTGAACTCAGTCCTCCGCTGGTAACGACGCAGCCAGACTCGCGCGGGCCGGCACTCGACAGTGGGCACTCACACTTGCCGGAATCTTCGACTGGTAGGCAGCCTGCAGGGCATAGCGCCCCATCTGGCGGCCCTGGGCGCCTCCGCGCAGCCTCGCACCACCCCCGCCAGCACGCGCGCCACTCTGCAGACGGCCGGGCGGCGGCCGCCGCTGCCGGCGTCGGCGGCGCACCGAGCCGAGCCGCGGGCGTGGCCCTCCGGCCGGCCGGCCGGCCGCGTTCCCAGGGCTGTCGACCGACCGCGCTGTGGACACGGTCCGACGGCCGGCGGCCCCCGCCAGCGCGTGCCCGGCGGCGGCGGCCGCCGCCGCCGCCGGCGCTGGTCGGCTCAGGGCACCGCCCGTCGCCTCTGCAGCGGCGGCGGCGGCGGCGGTGGGGGGGGGGGGGGGCTGGACGCTCGGGCAGCGACGCGGCTGACCTGCCCCGCCCCCCCGGCCGGGCCATGTCCGGACGTCCAACAACCGTGACGCAGCGGTATCGACACGGCTCGGGGGGCGCCAGCACACCGATGCCGGAGTTGCGACCACGTGACACGCACGTGCACTGGTCAGCTGGCTGTCGCCGTGTCTCAAACCTGGCTGACGACCGTGACCGGAGCGTGCTGACCGGAGCGGTACAGCAGCCGCAGAGCACACCCGCACCCACAGCGCACACTCGCACCCGCTCAGCACACGCGCACCCGCACCCACAGCGCACCCAAGCCCGCCCGCACACCCGCAACTGACCGGGAGCAGCCAGGCCGGACGGATAGGGTAGGCTAATCGGCCCAGTCCCAGCGTTTAGCGTAATGGAGTGCTCATCAGAGCCTGTACAGCTCGCCAGAGCCTATCCAGCTCATCAGAGCTTGTTTCTGCGATGGCATGAGGTGCTGGAATTATCAGCCTCCTGGAGTTGCTATAGCTCCTTGTCGCTGCTTAGACGCCACCATGTTTTGGGGCTCGGATCTTGCCATGACGCTCTGCGCCCTGAGCGCAAGAGTAACTGTGATGACCGCGAAATCCGAAACGGTTTCCACAGTTTTTCGGAGTTTGGTAAGACCTTCGAAGAAAGATTATGACGACAATGTCATAAAGACATTATCGGGGAATCCGTAGAATATTAAAATTTCGTTTAAACTCAGGTATCATCTTTACGCCACCCTATCGTAAAGCACATATTGCACAGGATGTAGTTCCAACAATCTGTTTGAAACTCCTACGCATGTATGAAGCCAGCGGCGTGAATATTTTGAGACTAAATCATCATTTTGTCAGTATTAATGGGTGGGAACAACATAGAGTATGATGCATATCAGAAACATTTGTCAGCGAGAGCAGCAGACCATGAAAAACCTAATACCCCACATTATCCCGCGCCTCGACTGCGTAAAGCACGAAAATCGCTTTCAACCCACTCACGTCCGTCTCGCGCATAACCGTCCGCTTACACAAGTATGCCATCACAGACCGCCATCTCTGCGGTATTCGTAACCCATGAGAGACCGGCGGCGCGGAACAATCGGGGCATCGCTCACGACGTCGGCTAACAATACAACCACCACGGCGGAAGTGTTTACGCGATGGCGTCAGGTTCGCACACTCGAGGGCCGCCGCCGCGCGCCGCGCATGCGCTCCCCGGTCCTGGCAGGGTCGCGGCACCGCCGCCGTTCCCATCATTAGCGCGGCGCCACAATCGCGCTGTATCGTCGGTGTGCGTGTTGGAGCGACGACTGTTCCCAGACGCCTTTGGTTGCTGGCGAGACGCGTACCCGTGTTGGCGGTCGCATGACAGCGCAAACCGCCGAGAACGCAGCTGGCTGATACTTTGAAGCCCCTGGTACTGCACTACTACCACTGCAGTTACTGCTATAGCAGCTACAGGTACAAATACAGATACCGATACGTTTAGCAACTATAAATGTGCTTGATATGTGCAGCTAGCGACTACTTTGCAAAGCATATCAAGACCTTCCTTGTCAAGCACTTACAACTTGCAACGAACGAGAAAACGTCACTGCGGCTTTCTTCAGTAAGTCAAGACAAGACGAAATTCTGTGCGGCTGGGAAATACCTGCAGTGTGCGTCACGACTGACGAGCATGGGAACAGTACCTGGAAATGCGTCAGCGGCTGACGCCGCGCCTGTGAAAATGGGCGGACACCAGGAGCCAATTTGCAAATTGCTCGTCACCCCAGGAAAGAAACCGTGTGCACCTCCACGCTTGGTTCCTCTCTGTCGCTTGTGCAACACACGCATTCTGCTCCTCAGTTCTCATGCGCTCACCTGAGGCTTGTTTTCTCCCGGAATGTGCGGTTTCTGTTCCACTTTGACGCTCCTTTCCTGGAGGTGGTGCAGGCGCGCTGCAGTCCTCTTGGCACGAAGTCGCGACGGCTTCTGTTCACACTCCATCTTCTTGATCTTCCTCTCCTGAAACAGAACGCCACGGTGTTGGGTGTATCTGAGCATTGCATAATACAACGTTGTGTACAATGGCACAGCCGGTACGCACCGTAAACTGCACGAGTGTGATAGGAGCACGAGTAAACCACTACACCAGCAGGGGCGCAGTCTCGCAAAATATCGTTCGAGGCTGAATAGGAGAAAGTTGTTAAATCTACCCCTAAGGCACAGTAAAAAAGTATATCCAATTTCATTAATTTTCTTCTCAAAACTAGGAAGGCTGCCCTCACCCCCACCGAACAGGAAATTGCACGCCATTACACCTGAAATACGTCAAACGCAAGTTTCAGTCTGCTGCAGGCATTTAAATTCTCTATTGCGACATAACTATTGTCAGGGCGTAACTGCTTCAACTTTTGTTAAGTCCTTGCAGTCCAAAAAAGAAAGAAAAAACTAGCCACGCTGCTGCTTCAGCTGTGAATCGTATTTAGAAGCCATCCGCAGCAGCCTGGCTGCTAACGCCCAGCCATCCGGGCACCCGGCCACGCCAGCCGGCGCAAACGGCGGTCGCACAAGCAGCTCCGACCTATCCTCCGACCCGTCATCGAACAGTCAGGTGGTGGGCACTCGAAGACGGCCCGGCTGACCGCCGACGCTCAGGGCTTCGCTCTCTGACTCCTGCTGAGCTAGTCAGAGGTGCTTTTCGCACAGATTCACTGGCAGCGCCAGATACGACTCTCGGTTTAAAACGATCACAGCGCAGGGCTTTCTCCGACTATCTGGGTCAATACGTGCATGCCAGGACAACCTGGTCATGTGGCGCCGCATTTGGCGCAGGAGTTAATGGTATTAGCCAATCTCTCACACATGACGTCAAATATCACGCTGCCAGCTGAGGAAGTCGAACGCCTAGTCCCTCCAAATTCGGAATCCTGGAACGAGGAATGAGCCATAAAGGCCATTGCCGTCAATTACTGGCGCCGTAAGAGCTGGCTGGGCCGGTGAGGGCGGCCGTCAGTTTCACCGAGCGGCCGCGCCGGCTCGCCAGCCCCGGCTGCGCCGTATCTCCGGCGGCGCGGCGCTCTCTGTGTGCGGCGGCGCTGAGGCCGCGCCACTTTCGGATCGCTG